CTGTTCTATCCACGCACACACACACACACACACACACACACACACACGTATACACACACACACACACTCACCTCCTTCACTCCCACCCCTCCAGCTGCAGCCCCAGCCGGCTCCACACAAAGGCAGGCCAAATGTATGCTAATGAGAGCCAGGCCAATGGTGGAGCCGCACTCATTTTGAGAGGAAATGGCTTTCAATAATGGCGGCCCCCGGGGGGATTTTGCACAAAGTTCAGCTCCACTTTGAAAAATGCATTCAATTCACTGCTGTGTCTGCTCTCTCTTTCTCTCCTGTTTTTTTTTTTCTTCCCCTCGATGAAAAAAAAAAAAAAAAAACAAAAATAAAACATTCCCGGAATATATTTGTGTCCCCTCCTCCTCTTGCCTCTGTATTTATGCTGAGGGGAGTCGGAGGAGTTTTTAGGGGACTGAGGAGTCGTGATTTATCTTTACAGAGAAACATCAGAAACAAGAACACAAAACATGTGAGTTTTGAATAGTGTTCAAACTCTTCCTGGCACTTCTGTTGCTCTTGCTTTTGCACTTCTGCTGAGGCACATGTCCCCAGAAGCATGTTAACTGTACCATATGCATTTCAAACGGATGATATCCTATGGGTCTTAGGCCTAAAAATACTTCAAAGAGGAGATGAACAACAGTTAAATAACAATGAGAATATTTCTTGAGGTAATGAACATTATTTGAACCAGACTTGTTATCTTTATGCCTAATATTATAAGCCAGAGAACATGATGGCTGCCACTGCTTTATCTCTTTAATATAAAACACTTAAGCTGTCATTATACATAATATAGCCCAATATTTCAGCTGTCATCCTCAGAATGCAGATGAGTTTTCTTATTTGTTTATCAATTATTCGGCTAAACTGGGAAGTTTCTGAAACCAGAGAATGTGTGCAATTTAAACTTGATAACTTGATTAAAAGATTCTACAATTAACTGCTTTGTGCACATTTAGCCAAAAAGGGTGAAAAAAGTCCATTAATCATTTCCCAGAGCCCAAGGTGACGTGTTTTGTGTAAACTTACAATGACATTAAGTAGAAAATTTGCTTGAAAAATGATTTAAACAATTAGTACGCGTATAAAAAAAAAGTTGACTGCTTTTGTTCAGTAATAAAATGCAGAGTGTGACTTTCATTTCCGCCACTCTGAATGGCTGGGAAGGTTTTCAATTTTCCGGACATGCTTCGGTTTCATTACGGAGAAAGTTTCAATAAGTGGATGACCTGAACTCTGTTACTGTAAATAAATACAGTTTGGACTGAGCTGTCAAAAGTCCTCTAAGTCTCCTGTCTGTCTCCACAGTTACAGTTGGCTAATCTCTCCGTCCCTCTGCTGCTTGCTTGTGTCCCTCCTTTTCTATCCCAGATTCTCAGTGTGTCTCGTCCCCCCTGAGCCGGTGCTGATGTCTGCGCTCCCTGGTGCCTGTCATATCAGTAGGGGCAATAACCCGTGAAATGACTGTTCTCTTTTTCTCACTCTCCTCCTCTCCATCCCGGTGTCCCCTCTATTTCCTCATTCTCCTCCTCCTCGCTTTCCTCGCACCGCGTCACTCCACGCTCCACTTAGCTGGGCCGCAGACATCACAAAGATGGCGTTTGCTCGTATCGCATACACACTCAGACGCACAGGTTGGGTAATATTCTTGTATGGTTGGACTGATGCATGTGTGCTCGGGGGACACTTATATGGAGAGCAGAGGAGGTGTGTGTGTGTGTGTGTGTGTGCACATGTGGCTAATTTGACAAGAGGACGTTTAAACAAACAGAAGGTACACGTGCAGTTCCATTAAACCCACACTAGAGGTTATACATCCTTCATAAGAGCAAACCATCCTGTGTGCGTGCATGTGAGTGTGTATAGGTGTGTGTGTGATCCTCCTGACTGTGCCCTGCTCTCTGGAGAGTTGAACACTCCTATTCCTGGGATGAGTAGACACTCCCAAGGCAAACACTCCAGATTTAATTATAAGCTCCAAAGAGGATTAGTCTGTGTGTGCGTGTGAGTGGGGGAGACACAAAGGGAGGGAGGGGCAAGAAGTTATCCCTTCACTTCCTGCATTGAGGAATAAAACACACAGTGGTCTCACCTCGGTTGTGTGTGGTACTGTCGGTCCACCTCTTCGTAGTAGTGCACAGGTCGAGATTCTCTGGGCGCCATCTGTGAGGAGACAGAGGACAAATAATATAAGTATACAGACTAAAAAAGGTCAAAGGTTCAGTCGCTGAAAAGTCAAAAAACCTGTGAATAAGGCACTGAAGCCTCATTGGTCACTCGGGTAGACATTTGGTGAAAAAAAAATGTTTGTAGGCCATGTGGTGGAGACCAAACATATCCTTAGGCTGTATGTTAACCTCCGTAAGACTTCAGATCCATGAAAAAGTGTTGTTAATGTACATAAAGTATTTAAAGCTTGTATGTGTTTGTGTGCAGCCTTGTGGTTTCAGTGGAAACAAAAAAAAAACAACAAGTGGGAGTAATCATGGAATGCCCCACATGTGGTAACATAAACACATGCGACCACATGTAAGCACTGTGCCCCTCCGATGACCATGTGTGTATACACTTCATGCAAACACACCAGTCATATGAAGAAAAAAAAATTACATTTAGAGTAGGCTTTGGGCAGAGGGTTGTCCACGCTCTCATCCACACACGGCAGGAAGCGATTGATTAAAGCCACGTCCACACTCAGACGGATAAATCTGGAAATGCTGTTTACATGTGAGAGCGACTTTGGTACACAAAAGCATTTTCAGGTCATTTTCCCACCAAAACCAGCTAAATCTCTTCTTCTTCATTCTCTTTTTGTTGGCAAACAACCGTGGATTAAAGGCATCATGTGGTAGGGGAGTAGGATGGTCACAGTCAGTTTACTCAGCAGGATAAAGCTCCATTCTGTCAAATCCTGCTCTGTATGATCACTTACAGAAGGACGACAAATTAAAGACAAAATCTGGTTAAATGAGAACAAATGCAGATGTTTTCAGACAGGGCACGAGGGCTCACTGAATGGTTTCATGAGCATGATGATGATGTGAATCATATGGTTCTCAACCCGACTGAACACCTATAGTAGATTTTGAAGTGACATGTTAGCGCTCTGCTTTCCAGTCCTGATATAACTGATGCTAGTATTACTATGCTAATCTCTAGCTCTAACCCCCTAGCTGCCAGTACTTCCTCAAACGCTGATTGGTCCGATACCACGGTTTGGCCACAGAGACATAAACTGAAGCCTGTCAAGATGGATCCTCGTGTGATCTTACGAGTCCAGCTGCTGCACAAGGTTAGCGGTCTTCACCACCATCATCAAAACACCAAATGAGGGAATATCTTTTGGAAGAAGAGTGCTCATCCCTCCCTCATCCTCTATGGAAAATGGTGTTAAAACAGTGGATCGAAGGCTAACATGTAGAGCAAACTATGTGGTGTCAAATTGAGTTGCGTAAGTGTGTACATGGTCTAAGGTTACAACAATAGCAGGGGGTTTATATAAGCCATCCCTGAAGGGTAGACAGAGAGGAGAGAGCATACAGTTTCAATTATCTGTAATCTAGGTTCTGGGCTCTGAGTATTCACATATAAACACAGGCTGTTTATTCAATGGACATTTCATTGGTCAAACACAGCATACACCCACCCGCACCCACTGTAGCATAATATGCACACTGTAGCATAATATGCACACAGCAGCACGCTGGGGAAATACACAAAAGCAGCCGCTATACAATAACTGACATGCACATGTCTACATAAACAAGCAATCACAGGTTTGGCAGACACACACATGGAAATCTAAAGAGGTAAACACTGATACGTTTGATCGAGGCTATCAAAGCGGCACAACCCCGGCAAACACCCACATACACAGAATTTAATATCACAAACACACACACACACACACACACACACACACACACACACACTCCATAAAGAGTCTAAATGACTCCATGAAGGACTAGTCTATTTCTGTGTTTTGCATATACGTATGAGTTCAGACTCATTCTGCATGTCAATGCAGCCACGGCGCATTACCAGATATCATTAGCATGTCTCCGTAATGTAGGGAGCTCTAATGTCTCTGAATGGGATCCAGGAAGTGAAAGCACATCAGAGCCAAGGCTGAGGCAAGGCTGCTGTTCTATTCACTAAAGGGGCTTTGTGTCTGTGTGTGTATATGTGTATGTTAATATTGTGGTAGTCTGGGGAAGGGCATGTGTGTCTTTGTGCGCAGGTTTAATATGAGCTCGGGAAGTGAATGCTCAATCTTTGGACGGCAGTGTGTGTGTGTGTGTTAGGTAGGGGACATTATGCAAAGAGATGCATAATGTGAGGTAAAGGGGCATCAGTCTCAGCAAGAAGCTGGGACTCAGGTGTGTGTGTGTGTGTGTGTGTTGAACAAGGCATAATACATCTTCTGAGTATGAAGTGGGGGAGAGAAAAGAGAAGGGAAGAGGAAGAGGAGGAAAGGAAATGTGTGTTTGGACAAAATTAGTGAAATTCTTTGTCCATTGATTGTATTAACATAATAGCCTGCAGACATAGGTCTGGAAGATTCGTTTATTAACTAACACACACACAAACACAAACAC